TGTAACCCTAGTTCCTCGAGGGAACGAGACGCTGCGTCGCGGTGCCATACTTCCGGTGTCCCTGCCAGCGCTTGCTTCATTCCTAGAAGCTGATGCAGGATCCGCCGCACGTGCTTTTATAGCTTCCTGGTCATGACGTCATCCGCCGTGACGTCCCGTTCAGCTATTGGACTGATTTCACATGTGATTCAGAGCGTGGGTCGCAGAGTCTCATTCCCTCGAGGAACCAGGGTTACATACGTAACCTGAGACGTTTTGCTGTTACAAAGCATACTTCAAGTTTTTGGCTATATTTGTGAGGGCCGTTATTTGATTAAGTGCTTTAGGCTAATGATTAACCAATGCCGAAGGTCATATTGGGGCATGTGAAAATAGAGGGTGCTGGGATTGTGGGACCAAAGTCACAAGAACCGTGAGAGGCCAGCCACTTTATTTGTCTTTCTCATTCCCGCTCTCAGACTGGTTTTGGGGACTTTTTTGTAGGACATCAGTCTAATGAAGTTATTAAGAGATTTTAGCGTCACCTGTCATGAGGGAAATCCAAATTTCATACACATGACCAGCACACTGTTAAGTTTTGGCTGCACCCTAAAAGAGTGTGTCCAATTCAGTTACGTTGAGAAGATTGTTTTACAGTATGCAGTTGTACATAGTGCAGATGTGATGGCAGGAGTAGAGGAGGTTTGATTTTGGCATATGTAGGGCAGAAACATACATAATGATTATGGCACAATGAGTCATTTACTCTCTGTAAAGTAAAGACAAAGAGACTTTATTGTCATTGTACTGCTGTGCAAAACAACATTTTTTTTGCCCAAACATTCACATAAAACAACAATAAATATAAAAATGTCAATATAGATTACAAGTTTAAAAAGATACTTAAAAAAAACAACAGACCCTTTAAAGTGTGCTGTGCAATTACAAATATAATTTATAGATGGTAACCAATCACAGGGTTTCCGCGGGTCCTTACAAATTCTTAAATTTAGATGTACATTCAATTTCAGTTAATAAAATAAAATTAAATTCCTTAAATGGTACAACAAAAGTCGTGATTATAATTATCAATGATTAAACTTCAAAAGGCTACGTTTTCATGTGACCCTTGTTGATAATATACAACAATATTTGGCCGAGTTACAACTATTTGAAAATCTGGAATCTGAGGGTGCAAAAAAAAAATCTAAATATTGAGAAAATCACCTTTAAAGTTGTCCAAATGAAGTTCTTAGCAATGCATATTACTAATCAAAAATTAAGTTTTGATATATTTACAGTAGGAAATTTACAAAATATCTTTATGGAACATGATCTTTACTTTATATCGTAATGATTTTTGGCATAAAAGGAAAAATTTATTTGGACCCATACAAGATGTATTTTTGGCTATTGCTACAAATATACCCCAGTGACTTACCACTTGGTTTTGTGCTCCAGGGTCACATATGAGCGCTGCCAGGTTGTTTTTATATAAATGTATCTCTAAAGGGAAACAACTGTCTTCAGAAAAGTATCTATGGCATTTTCATTTCATCATACTTGTAATGCCTGATAAAGTATGATGCTTTGCGTACAGCCATTACCGGGGAAACCGCTATATTTCTGCTGCTCCAAAAGCAGACTGGAAGAGAATAAATTTGCATTTTCAGTCAGCCCGTCTGCATTTTTTGTTCAGATCAATGTGAAAATCAACACATATTTTTAAGCAGGAAACATGCAGTGGTAAATGTGAAACAGTGGATTGATAAGAAGCTAACGTGTCTTCTAAAATCATAACAATTAAGACTGTAAGATTTATTATATTAATTTATGTTTTAAACTAATATAATAATTGATACTTTTGACTCATTCCTTTTCTTAAAAAAATGGTTTAAAGGCTGAAATGTGAAGTTTATCATTTTATAAAACTTTGTTTTTGTGAAAACCTATATCAGAACTGTAAATTATGTTTTTAACAGTCATTTTATGGTTTAATATGTTACCATAGACAGTGCCCTACCCCGCTTATACAGTATTACGTTTATTTGTGCAGGTCTTTAAAAAGTTCTTAAAAAGCCTTACATATGATTTTCAAAATCCTGCAGATACCCTGAATAAGGAAGTGTTCAATAGTTGTACAGCTCTAGCAAAAAAGCTATTTTTCAGTCATGTAGTATAAGAGTAAATAATTCTGTATCTTCTACCAGAGGGGAGGATATCAAAAGAGGTAGTGTGTAGGGTGAGTGGGATTTTGGAGGTTCTGCTCCGATATCTGGACAAATAAATATCCTCAACTGATGGTAACTGTATACCAATGATATTGTGTGCCATTTTCATAAATTGTTTCAGAGTGCTTATGTTCAGAGCTCCTCTCTTGTACCACTACCGTGCCAGGATGTGATGCAATATGTTAGTGCACTCATTGCACATCAATAAAAGTTCAAAAGAAGTTTCTGAGGCAATCTTAGTTTCTTTAATCTTCTTAGAAAATAAACACATTGATGTGCTTTTCCAATGACAGTGGAGGTGAGTGTGTGTAGTCCAAGAAAAATCCTCTGTAATGTTCAACCCCAAGAATTTAAAACAGGGGATTCTCTCCACAGCCACTCCATTCATAAGCACAGGACCTAAAATCTCTTTTGGATCTCCTTTGTCTTCTTGATGTTAAGGATGAGACTATTGTTGGAGCTCCAGGCTGTCACATTTTGTACTTTGTTCCTGTATGCATACTCATCATTGTTCAAGATCAAGCCGATGACTGTTGTATCATCTACGTACACCTAAGTGTTGTGTTGTTTTGCAGGTGGTGGTACGAGAGCTGCTGACCCAGTACACCAAACTGATGGGGAACAACTTGGTGATGGGACTGATTAGAAACTGGACCAGCTCAGTGTCAGACAGCCTTAGAACCAGGTAAGAGGATAGATAGATAGATAGATAGTAGGGGTGCTCCGATTAATCGGCTACCGATCGCTATCGGCCGATAATCGCTTTGGGAAGTTTGCATCATCACTAAAGTTTAGAATTTGCATTTCTTTTTAAGCCTTGCTAGTGTTTAACCATTCAGCACTTGTGCGCTCTCGGTGCGCTCATGCACACTCAAAGCGCGCACACCTATACATAGCTATTGTGCAGCAGTTGCCCCATTGAAAAAATGTCTAAAACATGCCCCCACACTTCAAATAAAAAACCAAAAATACAAGAGTCAACTAAGAGGGAAATTCCGCCCATTTTCAAAAATTACATTTAGGCCCTGAATGAATGTCTGTAAAAATCTGGAGCATCACTATAAATAATTCTACATGATAAAAAGAAGGCTTCAAAGAGATCGCTATCAGTGATCTTATCGGCAGATACTGCCGATAAGTGATACTGTGATCGATATTGGAATTTTTTCTGTTTTAAACCATGAAGGCTGATATTAAGCCACGTGCAAACTTTGCGCAAGATTTATGCCTGTGAACGTTTTAACCTTAGTCAATTATACAAAGTGAAAGTAACAAAAGTACAAACTGATGGTGCTTTTCGGCATCTGACGCTGCATTAACGGCGCATATTCTCTCAGAGACGAATCTACTTCAACATATGCTGATAACGGCATATAACTGTCTTGAATTATTCCTTAATATTTCTCTTGTGGCCCGTACATAGTGAAAAATGTGTTTTGCGTTAAACAGGTTGTTTTTGAAAGTCGGAGCTTGAAATAAAGCTGCTCTTAATTTTCATTGATGACTGCAGTGTTTTTGTCTGTAATTACAGGCCTATAATTCATTGTATAAAATAATAGACCTGTTTTAAAATACCTTTTTACAAAACATTTTCAATGAGGAGTAAGCTAATAGCCTAATCTTTTATTATCCTCACAGAGCGTCAGTTATGCGGTGATGCGCTATGAAATTATTGCGTGGCAAATTAATTTAAATTTCAAATTAATAATAATTTTTCAATGTAATAACAATTTTTCACATAATGTAATAGGTTATTGTATGAGAAATGTAAACACACTGTGGCAACTTATAATGTAATCACAGTTCATGAGGTAATATCAGCACATAATTTAAAACAATGTTTACAATATAATAATTATCTTTCAACATAATAAATTTGAGCACAAAACGTAATAATAGTTTTATGGAAAATAAGCTATTACATTAAGACAATTAAGCTAGTTAGGCTACATTGTGAACTTTTTTTTATTTTTTATAAAAAGCTTACTAATTTTGTGATTATGACATACTTCATCATTTTGTCGCATTGACCCAGAAACACATTTTAAGTTTTATGCACCAAATTAAAAAATACAGTTTCTGCTCTCTAATTATGTAATTATATATAATGTCAAACAATTAATCGCAATTTAATCGCATCCAAATTAAACGGTTTTGTTTACATAATATATGTGTGTGTACTTTGTATATTTATTATGTATATATAAATACACATTTTAAGAAAAATTTTAAATTTATATATAACATATTTATATATGATATAATTTATATAAATATAAATATATACATGTAATTACATGTAAATATTTTCCAAATATTTCCCTGGTTGAAACATCTTATAGGCACAGAAATGATGTGACTATTTTTCAACATATTTTCTGATGTACATTTGATGTTATAGAAATGTTCATTTAACTTGTGCTCCGTGCTGCCATTGCCTGAGCTAGGTAACGCGATCTATCCCAGACTACATTAGACTTTGGAAACTTGATTTGTTTTTTTCCAAATTTGTTCATAAAAAATACCTTTAATTCAAGGACGTATAATTTAGTAGGGGTGCAACTGATTTGTTCCTAGCAATAATTTTGATCAAACAATTAAAATATATTTATATGTAACCACTGTTGTTGTCATCATACCAAGGACAGTACCTGAGAAGTTAAAATAAATACGTCAGTAAACTGCGCTCTTTCAAGGATGTGCATTTATTGCATGGCCAAAGAAATAACATAATCTGTGTTTAAAAAGTAGGATTGCCAACTGTTCTCATATTTAAGTAACATTCCATATTAAATCCATAGTGAAAGCAGTTTATTGTGTCACGCCCAGTATAGGGAGATAAACACTCAAAAAAAAAAACAGTAGTTGAAACTGTAATAATAACATATTTGACAAACATAGCATATTTGCATTTGTATCAGTGTAGCTAATCACAGACACGTCCATTGAACTGATGAACTGAGAAAATATATTTCTTTTTAGAATTATTTTGTACATGAATGGATTAAGCAAAGTAAATATGTTCACGTCTGAGACTCATTTCGGCATTTATCTCTATGCACATAGGCTAAATAACAGAACAACTACTTTGACTGTCCCTTATACTGGGCTGATTATACTTTAGTATAAGTATATACTTATATAATTATTACAATATGACAATATTTTTGGTGAGTTTAAAATGTAATACATTTCTCATAATGTAATAATTGTTTTTACATTATGAGCTCAAGATTTTATTAAGTTTTGAGAAAATTATCACATTATGAACATTTTATTACAATAATAATGTAATACTTATTACATTATGTGCAATTTTTACATTATGAGTTGCTACAGTGGATGAATGGATAGATAGATGTCCACATCTTTAATGATGTTCTGAGCTCAATCATGACATTTCGGGCTTAATGCTCTTCATTAGATGGCATTTGTCTGTTGGCTTCGCTGTGTAAGATCAGCTTCTATTATCTAGCCTCTAAAACTCCATATTCCAGAAAAGCCACACACACACACACTGTTTAGCCCTGAGAAACCTGTCTACCATCGCTTGTGTTTACTCTCACAATTAGGTCACCAATTTAGCAATTTTGCCTAAGAGGAAAATTTGATAGGTGTAATTGATTTCCGGCCTGCTATTCATAACATATTAACCAAAGCCGAGATCTTCAGTCGCCCGGGATACTGTAGGCTGAATAAAATCAGCTTTTATTTGTCTAGATGTGATTCTGATAGTACAGTGATTTTATACAGTATCTCTTTGTTTGACCGAGTTAATCTGTTTTGCTTTTGGCTGTTTCCTTGTTTATCTAGCTTTCTTGGCTTCAGCGTGGACAAAGTAGGAGACCTAATGTTCCTGCTGAAAGCGGTGAGCTACAGGGAAAGGGTGTTACAGCGCAGCCTGGCAAGTCGACTTTACACTAAGGTCAGTTGTTCTCACTGAATCACTGGAAACAAACAGAGTTTCCTCTCTGTGTGTTTTACTGCTGCTTATTTTAAAGCAGAGCAAGTGACAAGAGATAGCTGTGAAATGCTTTGATTGAATATTTAGTGGCGGTAAAGTTTAAAACATTTTAAACACAAGTACCCATAGGATGATATTTTTTTTAGATTTAATATTCTAAGAACATTAAAATCCTGTTTTCTTGTTGTGATTATAATGTTATTTAAAGGTTACAAAAGACTTTTCTTAGAACATTCAAGTAGAAATGACATTATAAGGACGTTCCGAGAATGTTGATCTCAGAACGTTTTCTCTCAAACTATATCAAATATTAATACAATTAGAAGAACATTCCACAAACATTACTTTAGGAACAATACATTTATATAACTTTAAAAAAAAGAGATCTCAGCAATGTCCCGTGCTCACATTTGCCAAGATCCAAGGGCGCAGAATTTAGTAGGGACGCTAGGGGCATGTCTCTATCAATATCCAGCGTCTACTAATTGTCCCTAGCGATAATTTTGATCAAACAATTAAATATATGTGTATGTAACCAATGTTGTTGTATTTCGGCCACATCTGAAATAGGTCATACCATTGATATTAGCTGAGAAGTTAAAGTAAATATGCTAGAAAACTGCATGCTTTCAAGAACGCATATTTAATAGATGTGTGGAGCAAGAATAGATAAGAGAGCAGAAGTGTTTCAAATATACAAGCACAGTTCAGTTGAATGATAAAGGTCACTCTTTAACTTTGTTGTTCTGCTGTTTTGTTCATCTGATTCTCCCATTTGCTCTTTTTACACTGACTATCACTCTATAGACTAATATAATCAGATGCAACAATTGGTCCCACTTTATATTAAGTGGCCTTAACTACTATGTATTTACATCAAAAAATAAGTACAATGTACTTATTGTGTTCATATTGTATTTCAAAACACTTTTGCTGCTATTGAGGTGGGATAGGGGTAAGGTTAGGCACAGGTTTGGTGGTATGGATAGGATTAAGGGTGGGTTAAGGTGTAAGGGATGGGTCAACAGTGTAATTATAAATGTAATTACACAAATTAATTACAGATGTAATTACATGCAGGTATTTTTTTTAAATATAAGTACAATGTAAAAACATGTATGTACACAATAAGTGCATTGTACCAAATGATTAATTTAAATGTAAGTACATAGTAGTTAAGGCCACTTAATATAAAGTGGGACCCAACAATCATTTCTCAAATATTTATTACAAAATATACTGATAAACTGAACATTCACTTCAATGGTATGAGAGACTGGATGATTTCAGCTGATTTGCTATTGAACTGTCAGCAACTGAGCCGTGCTCAAACTATTTCAAATATAGTCAATTAAGCTACAAACTCGATCATAATACTCAATGTTTCCATCTAACATGTATTTTGAGTGTTTCACTAGTTAGCAGTAAACCTGTTACCTCTCCTGAATATGTTTGCAGATGTGTTAAATGTTATCTTTGGAATGGAAAAAAATATATATTTTATTTAACATCATATTTTTTCTCTTATTTCAGTTAATGTCATTAAACTAGTGAGCTAAGCCAGTAGTAGTGCTGACAGTGTCGTGTAAACATGGCTGAAAACGCGAAAAGCGGAGGAACAGACTAACCGATTCAATTGAGTCATTTACGCTGGAACTGCTCCGATTGATTCAAACTCGTGACGCGATCATTCAGTTCAAGCGATTCACTAGCAAATAAAAAAAAAAACAGATCAAAAGATCCATTCGTTTTATAATTTCGAC